CACAGAGACAAAAATTAATGGATTGACTAATGTGGTTCTTGTGCAGGGATGGAATTCACATCCATGAAGTACATCACAAATGTGGTGGGAAGCATGGGCTTTACTTTTTAGGAGAGAAATAAGAGAATATCTACCTTTGAATATCACTGTTAAATAAAGAAATGTACATGATGTGTCTGAACAGTGCTGTGCACACGGAATGCCTGAATCGATGGTGATTGATTGTTAATTCTTTTGATAGAGCCTATAAGTGAAGAAATTATTCCTTGCTTCTCCATGTACAAATTTATTTCCTCCCTACTAGTCAGGTGTGTTGGTACGCTCCTGCAACCCCAGTACTGGGGAGGTAGCAGTGGAAGGATCACAAGTTCAAGGGCAGTTTGACTTATATATTATGAACCTGTCTTGACAAAATGAAACAAAATAATGACAATTGTTGCTTGCAATTTAACATTAATGAGAGTTTTGGTTGCTTTTCAGTTTTTAATGATATTACACTTTGTGAAAAGTTGTAAACTCCATGAAAGCCAGTGTGTGCCTTCCTAGGCACAGGAAATCTATGAGTATATAAGTGAAATAGGACTTTTGTCTCAGGAAGAGAAAGTGGAGCCAACATGCCCAGGAGGCTAGGGAAGGACTTCAGGTTTGAAATAGCATAGGAAAGTATTCAAAGATAACCAAGTTTAGGCTGGTCCTAACACTGAACTTGGGCTAATGGAGGAGGGGGTGAAGAGATTCCCAAGGACTGCCTCAAATGTTAGTTTCTCATTGGCCATATGATAGGCTGAACATCAGTGCTGTTCTTTCAGGGATGGTGAGAGGCATTGGAAAGAGCAGGTAATTTTGCAGATTAAATTACAGCCCACTAGGCAGTCGGTTAGATGAAAGGGTCTGGTTTTTATATCATTCTTTCCATGAAGTAACCATATGGTCACCTTTTAGCTGGAACATTGTCCTAGGGCTGAACTGCTTGGCAGGTAGTAATGACTTTTCTTACATAAGATTTAGAATTACTTTTATTTTGTTAAGAAACACAATGTTTTTTTTTTTTGGAGAAATTAGAAAGTATAAAGTAAAACAAAGCAATGCATAATAATGTTATACTCCAAAGAATATCATAATTTGCATTTTGCTATGTATTTTATGTGTGGTGTACTTGTGTATGCATGTTGGCATGTTTGTGGGTGCACTTGTATGTAGAGGCCTAAAATTGACATCTCTTGCTGACCCCAGATCTCACCCATTCTGGGTAGTCTAATGAACTGCTTTAAGAGTCCCCTGTCTTTGCCTCCCGAGTGCTGGGTTTAAAAGCAGGTTGCCGTGCCTGCCCAGCATTTACATGGATTCTGGGAATCTAAGCTGTGATGCTCACACTTGTTTGACAAGCACTTTGTCCACTGAGCCATCTTCCTAGACCTAAATTCCGCATTTATCGCTGATACACAGCCATGCATTCACATGCGTAACTTACTGGGCTCCTCTGAAGTGTGTAGGTTGGTTTTTATGGTGAGAAGGGGAAGGAAGTGCACACAAATACTTAGGCTCAGTGGCATCTCTTAAGTACATTTTAAAAATAATAGTTTTGGTTGATTTTTGGTCTTTAAGGATCATCCATTTTATGAAAAGTTGTAAGTTCCATGAAAAATCTTAGCTGTGTTTAACTATATTATCAGTATTTCTTACAGTGACTTTTGAGGCAGGTGTGTTTACTTATTCTTGCTTTACAAAGGAATAAGCCAAATATCAAGAGAACCAACAAGCTAACGGGTATGGGATAACAGACTCATACAGCTTCTGTAAAGGCTTGTAATTGCCCAACCTCACTGACACTGGATTTCAGGAAGTTAATCAGATTCAAGTACCACTCCTTAAAAATGCAGTTTAACTAAAGAGAACTAAGCACAAGTGTTTAATTAAAATGATAGAGACTTTACAAGGAGGGTAAATACTATTGATCATATGGCTCCTGTTCTGTGGGCTACCCTAATGTGAATAACTACTTGGGTGTGGTCTACAATGAACAATATTTTGGTGACTAGGAGAAGAGAGTCTGTAAGCTTAGAGATGGATATGGGCCCAGACAGATGGAGGAAAGCCTTGAACAAGAAAATCTGCAAATAATGACTATGTCTACAATTTTGTCTTCCTCCTTTCCTCCCTCTCCCTCCCTCCCTCCCTCCCCCCTCCCTTCCTTCCTTCTTTTCTTTCTCGTTCATATTTTGTTTGGATAGTCGATAATACTTTTGTAAGAATGCATTGTTCTGGAGAAGGTGAGGAAGTTGATACTTATGTCTTTTAACTTGTGTTTTAGGTTAGCATACAGATGTGATGGGTTTTCCTCTGGAATCTTCATACATACCTGTCACACTTCATTCGTCTCCCCCCACTATCCTTGCCTCTACCCCCTTCTCCCTTTGTCAAGTTTATGTCTGAATTGAAGTAGTAGAGTCTGAAGCCAAAATGTGTGGGTAAAGAAGAAGGGTAAAAGGACACGTCCCCAGGCCAAGAAAATTATGCACTTGTGTGATGGTGTGTGTGATGGTATGTGTATGTATGATGGTATATTTATGTGACAGTAATATGTTTGTGTGTGTGTATGTGTGTGCATGTGTGTATATGTTCCCTGATGATATCAAGGGTCAAGAAACCCCAGATTATATCTGAGTTCTAAATAAATACAGCTGCATTTACATGCAAAAATAATGCTTTATGGTGCTGATATGATCTACCAGTCCTTGCTTGGGCCATTATGGCTGCACGTTGAGCTTTCCAGAGCCCTTTGGTGAGGTCCATTCCCCAGGAAAATTTCTTTAAGCTCATAGATAACTTTATATCCACCATCTTATTGTTTCTGTTATCTGAAAGACCACTTTCTCATCCTAACCCCTCTCTGCCCTCTATTAAAGTATTTCTTGCCCTTGATTTATCATGTACTATCATGTTTTGTTTTTCTTATCCTTAGAAAGAAGCTATGTTAAACAGGATACCATCAATGCTGTTTATCTAATTCTTTTAGTTTATAATCTTCTAAAATATAGGAATTGTCTTGTTCCATGTTTGGTGTATAATAAACATTTGATAATTTATTGCTTCAGTCACCAAACAAAATGAGAGACAAACTTAAGCCCCACCCATTTTTCTTCTCATTGGAAAAGTTGATAAAATTCTTACTGAATATATAGGCATATTATTCCATTTCCCTTACTACATTTATTGGGTTTGTATGTGTAAGTCAATATATGATCTCATTTAATTTCTGTAACAACCACATGATGCAGCTGTTATTATCTGTACAGGTAAGGAAATAGAATCAAGAAAGGGAGGTGACTTGACCAAGATTGAGGCACTGGGAAGGGACAGAATTGAGAGTGATGTCCAGGCAACCTGAATCCACAGTCCACAGTGCTTTTCCCTCTTTCAGGGTCAGGCCTAGGTTAGCTTCCTCAAGACCCTTTGCCCTCCTCACTGGCTTGCACTGCCTGTTATTTCCTCAGTAGATGTGGGCCCTGTGTGACAGGAATCCTGTTTCCCCTCTTTCCTTCACCTTGTTTTATGTGGCAACATCTTGTGAGGTTGCTGGGAAAAGGATTCCTGTTTGTGTTAGAGACTGGAGATGGTGGCTTTGGGAATCTGTCTAATATACAGCTGCTTTCTGCCTTAGCCTTGGGTAGGACCCATGTCTTCAACTACAGTGCCAGGCTTCTTCCTCAGAAGAAAACACCCTAGTAATCCCCTTAGCAACCCTGGAGCAGATGTGTAGAACTCTGGAACTGCAAGAAAACATAATGATCACTTACAGGAATGTCCTCCTTTAAGACAGTAGGCCTAGAAAAGAGAGATGATGGTCCCCAGACAGAAGAAGTTAGTAGAAATACTGGGGTGATGAGAAAAGACCTTACGGTCAGATCTGGGCCTTGGTCTTCACTTTGATGCTCAATTCTTGCTGATTGACAGATAATATAAAATATAAATTATTCATATCCAAACAAAGCTGACAATGTCTTTCCTGTCATTGTCCTTGGCTTATATACAAAGGATAGCCTTTCTTTCTGTAAACGCTCTCTTCATTCCATTTGGCACAGACTCTTCTGACTGGATCACTCATGTTCTTTCCCTGACTTGTGTTCTTTGCAGTCTCCAGACAGCTCCTCCCTGCTGCCCGCCTCTCCATGACCCCCCACTTCCTCCAACCAGCCTTTTGTTTCCACCATGGACACCAAGCCAGCCAATCAGTACTTCCTGTCTCCCTTCCATCTGTGCTCCACACACCCCACTAAGGCCATTTCCTGGTTGTCATACTGAACCAGTGCTGCAATTGCTAAAATATTAATGGTGCTCTCTGTGAAAAATAACACCAGGGAGCATCTCATTATAAATTAAAACTGCCAGAGAGGCAGCAAGAATGAAATGAAACAAGCAAAACCACATTATTAAAAAGTACCTAGGAGTTAAGACAAAGGAGAACATCTTTAGCTCCGTTACCCATCACAAGGCTGGGCTCTTTCTGTGGGAAATGCGGTTATTTGGGGCTGAGATTGACCCGATTCACCACCCAGATGGGGTGCATAGCAAAGTGTAGTCCCTGGGGTTTTGCTGGCTGGCTCCTTTCCTGAGCCTACCAGGAGAGGAAGTTGAGGGAAGGGTAACGGAGATCAGAAAAGGATAAGCAAGCTGTGTAGATAGAGGAAATACAGGTTTTTTTTGTGGTCGAAATTGCATCTGACATTTTAGGACATGGACAGCTGAAGGATACTGAGGAAAAGTCAAGTTAGATTCAAAGCCAGAAAAATGTGCTCCCAGCCTTCATCCAACCCTTAACTGAATGAGCACTTAGCACTTGATTTTAACTATCCGATTCCCCCAATCGTATTCTGTCATCTGCATCGTTGTGTTTCTCACGCCTCGGATCAAATCATAATGTGAAGCTGTGTGTTCAGGATGAATAGATGAAGACTCAGAAAGGGGAAGGGAAGAGAACAGAAATGACGTTTGCAGCACAGTGAATGTTGACATTTTTAATTTTTATTGTGAGGAAGAGAGTACAAATGGCTGGGGACAGAGATGTCATAGGAGGAAGAAAGACAGTGCCTTTCCACTCTCTCTGAGGAAGGCACTTCTAAGCTGCACATAGGATGGAGGTGTATTCTTCAGGACCCCTTTGGTTGGTTTGTCAGCAACTCCCCCATGGTTCCTGGGGTATACCAGCCTTCCTAAGAATACTGGGCATGTCTCGAGCTGCTGGTGATCCAAGACCCCTTTTCCATTTTCCCTGGCCACTCTCATCTCCCCAAGTTCCCAATCTGAGTTCCATTCTCTGATCTTTCTTTCATTGTGTTTTATCTTAAGCTCGATTCTCACATGTTCTGCCCCTCACATTCATTTTCATTATTGGGTATACTAAAGTGTGCCTTTGAAAGAGGAAATTCTTCCTTTAGCTCTGTCCTCAAGCCCTTCTACCTCCCCATTTCACCTTCCAGTCCCGTCTCTCCAGGGGCACTAAGGGCTGCACTTGGAATTCTAAGTGTCCATGGTTCCTGTGGAGGGGGAGAATGGATACATGTTCCCTCAAGGCAGAAGGTGTGCTTACCCAGGTGAGGACCCTGGGTGCTGTCATTCAAACAGACTTAACTATGGAGAACCTTCATCACACCCCTTCTCAAGCTGTTCCTTTCTCTCTCTCTCTCTCCTTCTGAGTTCACTAAGCTAGACTTGAAGCTCCATTTATAGTGAGCAATAGCAGGGATATGGCAGGTCCTCCAGCCACCAGGCTATAAGCATGAATGCTGTATATGTGGTATGCAAGGAAGCCATCTGAGAGCATTGCTATGGAATGTGTTGAATAGGAGAAACATGGCTTAACTGTGGGTTTCATTATAAGTGTGATAGTTGTCAGAAAGGCCCAGGCAGCTGATATGACAGCTCCCAGCTCAGGAAAAAGAGAAAAAGGCAGCAGAAAGAGCTACAGGACTTCTAACCAATCAACGTTAGCATATATGACACCCTCGGGGCTTCTGGCCCCTTCCCTTCATCCAGATTTCTGTAGGTGGCAAATCTAAACATTTGCAAATTGGCAGTCATAATCAGTCATCCTGCACATAATGAACTTCCATTGCCGATCCCTGTGGGAGGAGAGCCAAAAAAATGAATGTCAGTGAGAACAGTCACCCATTGATGGAAGAACCACTGCTTTAGCAGGATTTCAGAGCTGAATGGATACTTCACATTGTTCTTAGAAGACTTTCAATAGTTTCCTGAGAATTAATAGAACCGTGAAGTTAGATTGTCCCTTGTAGATTACTGGCCATGTGGAGGTTCCTGTTCATGGCTGATGGTCAATTCTCCACAGCTAACCCCCACATTAACCAATGTATCTCCAGGATTTAAAAAGTTAATGGCTTTGAATGAACAGCATTTATTAACATCTTATCTGTCTATTCCATTGTAAAGAATCTTCTTTTTAAAAGGCATCCATTTTCCTACCAGTGCTTCCTTCTTACCGAGTACTCTCCATGTGCCAGGATCCAGGAGATCAATTGTGTGTTTTCCCTTAGAAAGCATTTTTTTTTTTTTTCGGTCTTTTTGAGACAGGGTCTCCCTGTAGCCCCAGCTGTCCTGGAAATCACTATGTAGACCAGGCTGGCCTTGAACTCAAAGAGATCCACCTGCCTCTGCCTCCCGAATGCTGGGATTAAAGGCGTGCACCACCATACCTGGCCATAGAAAGCATTTTTAAGGTGAGGGGGACAACTTGGGACATCTTAAAGCAGGAAAGAAAATGCTGGCTATTTTTGCCTACTAGAAATTGGAGTGACCTATTTAAGTGATGCAATGGATTTAAGAAGGCATAGAATTGCTCAATTTTGAAATATGATGGGGATACATGGTCTTTGTTAAGCATAAGTCCATGTTCTTTATACAGTCACTTAATAGAATTGTTATGGAGTGCCTACTCCATAACAATTCTGTGCAGTGATAATTGTAATTACAAGGTTCTGAGTGCTTCCAATATATAGAGAATCTCACTAAATGCTCTACAACATGTTCTCTCAGTAATCTTCACAGTGACTCATTATTTAGGCAAAGAAATAGTTAAACAATGGAATAAGATTCTTGCTTAAAAGGACTATAAGTAATAGGTGATATCAGATTCTAACCTTGCTGGACTCAGATCTTGGTCTTTCTCTTATATCATGTTGTCTCCCTACCAGGTACCCATAATGTAAGCTGAAGATGACAGCTGTCACACCCTTTGCGTAGTCCCAGTAAAGGGTGGAACTAGTTTTCCATATTTTCAATCAAATAATTGCTTCCAAAGCACAGTGGGCTCCTTTATCCATCTCCCTTTTCAATCTGACAGGCTTCTTTGTAATTCAATTTATTCTAAACACCATGTCTAACAAGACTTGCACCCAGTGTCTGAACTAGAGGGATATGGAAATGACTACTTTATTCTAGATGGGGAACAAGGATGAGGATGGTGCTTAGACAGCCCAAGGCTGGCTTCCTAATCCTTAATCTGCTTCTCCAGTTTGCCTGCTCAGAGCAACTGGGAATAGAGTTCTCCAGCACAAGTCTTTGAGGGCCTGGGTGATGAGCTGTTCATTGGCATGTGTTCCTGTAAAATCATCCACAGAGGATATGGCTTGATTAGCAAACTGGTGCCATGTGTGTTTACCAAATGAATTTAATTATCACAGCTAAGAAGTATGTATCTGTGCACTAAGAAACAAAGATAAGCAAGATTTTATGGCCAGTCATTCGTGCTACTCAATTAAGAAGGCAGTTAATGGATGCCAGAAAAATTTAGACTTGTTCCTAAGAGAATCAATGGTCCAACCAGGTTCTCTTTTCTCTTAGGACACAGCTTTCAACCTGGGGCAAACTTGCTTCCTGTACTCTATTTGTCGATGTCTGCACAGAGTTTTGCTTCTCATACTGGCGATGGAGCATTTAAAGGGTAAGTTAAGCACCTAGAATTGCAAAGCAGACACTTGCAATAAAGAATTATCGCCCCGGGGCTGGAGAGATGGCTCGGTGGTTAAGAATACTGAATGTTCTTGCAGAAGACCTGGGTTTGAATACCAGCACCCACATGGCAGTCAACAACTGTCTGTAACTCCAGTCCCAGGGTATCTGACAGCCTCTTCTGACCTCCATGGGCATTGCACGACACGGGTGCACTTACCTACATGCAGGCAATACACGCATACACACACACATGAAAAAAGAAGTATCGGTCCCATATGTTGAAAGGGCGCAGATTGAGAACCCATTCCAGGAGGAAAGGTCTGTGAATTGCATATGGAGGGAAAGCCCTCATGCTGATGGCATTTCTCCGATGGGAGGACCTCACTATCTTCAACAGAACTGAAGAAACCGAAATTACAGATCTTTAAGTCACTGATTGGTAATGACTCCAGCAAAATTGAATGGGTATGCTCATTTCATTTTATCTTTTGGGGGGCAGGTGGAATTTGTTTTAAAACAAATCATAGACATTAGTTCTCAGTCTTCCATGATTCTGTAGAATCTACATAACTGAAAATTTTCTAAGCCTATAAGAATTGGCCATTTTAACTGAGAAAATGTACTTAATTCACACTGATTTGAGGTATCTTTCTTTACTCTTTTTTTCTCTCTTTTTAAAAGTAGAAAACCCAGAACCAATTTCCCTTTTGCTCTGGAGACATCTTTAGAAACACTGAACGTTGCTACTCTGTTTTAAATTCTGGGTTCACTTTGTTGTTAAATGAAGTTAGACTTCCTTCCATATTCTTTCATTTGTTTTTTTTTTTAATCTTTATCTTAAATATCTTTTCTGTGTGGTTATATCACTCAGTTGTTTCTTCACATTGGAATGAGTTTATTCTATGTATGCTCCTTTTCTAAACTGTAGCTTCTAGAAAGTAGGTAATTAAGCAAGTTAAAACTGTATCTCAATGGTATCTCAAGTTGTATAAAAAAACCAAGATGTTCGTCTGTGGGTAAACATAAGAATCCCTGCTGGTGAAGTCTGGAGCATACATCGTGCTTTTCAAAGCTACTTCTGTGTACTTAAAAAGTTGTATTCCTTGCCAGGTGTGATGGCACATGCCTTTAGTTCCAGCACTCAGGACGCAAAGGCAGGCAAATAGCTGCAAGATCAGGACCAGCCTGGTCTACATAAAAAGTTCCAGGCCAACTGAGGCTACAGGGAGACTCTGTCTCAAAAAAAAAAAAAAATGTATTCTGTTCTTAATAAGTTAATTTCATTTAAGAGAGATGTATCTTAATTTGAAAAATAAACACAAAAGATAAATGACTCTCAAATTCCTCATAGCCCATTATCTGGTGAGTTTATAATTTAAGGTTTATTTGGTTTGCAAAACATGTATTTTATGGTAACCTTCCAGGAATTCATTTTCATGTATGAAGTGATGATAGGATGACTAAAATCAGTCAAACCAACACTTTACATCTGAATTTATCCATATTTCCTCACATATTGGTAGAGGGCTGGACACAAACTCCATATAAAGATCATGTCTATAGGAATTTTGGTCTTGTTTACTTATTTTTTCAATATATATGAGAGGACCACAAAATGGTTGTGGGAGAAAGGAGGGAGTTGATGTTGTTTTTCTCTTTAAGTTTCTCAAATTTTCTTTCATTCAAGAAGGATTCTGACCTGGTTGTACAATAACTTACTCTGCTTTCATTTTTAGATATGATTATTAGGCACTAGTGTTTAAATATTAATGTCTGCCATAAAATTCATGTGTTGGAAACTAATACCCAATGTAGCAATAATATTAAGCAGGGAGGGTTTTGCAGGAAGAGGTTAAGTTATAAGGATTATGCTGTCATGAATGGTATCAGCACCTTTATCACAAGGTTCTAGCTCCTGCAGCTATCTTGTGCATATGCAGTGTGAGGAAGCAGTGAGAGGGGGCCATCTAAGAGCAGCCACGAGTGATGGATCTTCTGCCATCCTCATCTTGGATTTTTCTAGTCTCCAGGATATGAGTAATACATTTCTGCTTTAGCAGATTAAATTACCCAGGCACAGGTACTGTGTTATAGCATGAATAGACTGAAATAATGGGTTTTGTGTGTTCTTTCTCTCTAGTTCCCTCCCTTTCTCTCTACCTTCCTACGCCTCTAAGTGGGGAATATACAGAAACACAGGACCAAAGACAGTCCCATTTGACAATGGCTACTCTTAAAAATTCCACACTTTTGTTGGGCACAGTGGGGCACATTTTTAATCCCAGCACTTAGGAGGTAGAGGCAGGTGGATCTCTATGAGATCAAGGCAGCCTGGTCTACACACTGAGTTCCAGAGAAGCTGGGGCCACAGGAAGACCCTGTCTCAAGAAACAAAAGCAAAAACAAAACAAAACAAAAGAATCCACCCTCTCCTTTTGATGTTTGGTGAGAAGTATTCTCTAAAGTTGAGTGTAGGAATTGCTCAGAACATCAAGAGATACAAAGTTCAGGACTCTGCTGTAGAGCGTAGAGTGCGCTGACCCATTCTCCTTGGCAAGGACACATTACCTTGTGAGATGAGTTCCTAAGAGCTCTAACTTCCCACTACCTCCAAAATCCTTATTTAGTACCTAACCAACTAGGAAAACTAGACTATGGAGAATCCTAGGCAAAAACTCCCACAGAAGAGATCCTTACAGGGATTGAGTCCACACCAAGCCCACTTGGGTCTAACACCAAGCCCACTGGTCAGGGGTGACTCTCCTCACCTTTCCACTGCAGAGAAAGTGGTTGTTGCTCCTCGGATATAGTAATCATAGTTATAGGAAATCATGTCCATTTCTTCCCCATAGTGGCCTGGGTACTCTGTCGTCAGCCTATATGGAGAGAACAGAGTTGGAGAAGAAAGAGCAAGCTTGTTATTACTGGAACAAATGGAAGGCATGCAGTGAAGGAGGAATCTTGGGGGAACTAGACTGGAGTTAGAGGGTCTCTACCTTTTTGCATCTTCCTTTTCTTAGCCTTTTAATTGTATGTTGAAACATATGCAAATAACTCCCCAGACCTTGAAGAAATGCCGAATAATATTAATTCTACTTTATTCAAGTCAGGACAATGTTTCAAACTGAATCATGACTCATTATTAGATCATAAAATCAATTTAGCAGATTATGATGTGCTGTGATGATTTATACTAACTGTCAAGTTGCCAGGGTCTAGAATCATCTTGGAGACAAATTTTTGGGCATGTTTGTAAGGGATTAGGTTAAATGAGGTGGGAAGACCCTCCCTAAATGCAGGTGATACCATCCCATGGCCTGGGGTCCTGGAATGAATAAAATAGAGAAAGCAAGCTGAGCCAGGTTCATCACTCTGCTTTCTGACCGTGGATGCAATATGACCAGATGCACTGTACCTTTGAACTATAACCCAAAACAATCCCTTCCTTCCTTTAAGTTGCTTTTGTCAGGTATTTTGTCACAGCAATGAGAAAAGATGCTAATATATCAGTTTTAAAAAGGAACAAAATTTAACAGAAAATATCAGGTCTGATAACCATTGCATGCAATAAAGTTCATGTGTATAAAAGTTTTGATTAAAATATATATGTATGCATTTATGTGGTGTGTATATTTTGTGATAGTTTAATATATTTCTTATAGTCACTAATAATAATAATAATAAAAAGTGTTAAAATATTTAGTTAAAATGTAAGCTCTACAAGGTGAAGTTTTATCTCTCCCCCATTGTTTGTCTGGAAGCTAAGTTCCTGGCACATACCAAATATCTTCTGAATAAATAAATGGCTTTGGGAGAGTCATTTAATCTGCTTCCTGATCCATAAAAGAACAAAAGCTTCCTTATAGATCTGTCACTGCAACTAGTAAAAACCTATGTGATGTAATTATTTATGGTAGGAGTGGAATCATTAAAAGTTATTTTGTTTCTTCCTCCTCCTCTTCCTCCTCCTCCCCATTCTTCTCTTTCTCTTCTACTCCTTTTCTTCTTCTTCCTTTTTATCCTCCAAGATCAACTTAATCCTGGATCTCCCTATGGTAGGCTCATTGTGTTTCATCCTAGAACAAATTTAGGATATCTTGATTCTCATAAAGATTTTGTCGCTGGGATTCTTCAGGACTGAAATAGTCCTTTCATGATGAAAAAAACTCTGAAGTCATTTCTGAGACTAGACAGGCCTTGAATTTACTATAGAGCTGGGATGACCTTCATTTTCAAGTGCCAAGATTGCGGGCATCTACAACCACACCTGGGTTCCTCCAAAGTCTTTATTCCATCCCTACGACTGCTCAGGAAAATAGCATCAGTAATCCCATTTAGTATGAGTTTGCCAGACATTTGTATATTGAGGATAGAAAGCTCCTCCTTTCTGTAGTCTAATGACCTTTCTCCTAAGAATGCAAGGACTGTCAAGAAATCTGGAAACATTGATTTATAAACTGGAAAGGCTCTGGAGGATCTCTGGGGAGTGCTTAGGTACAGCAAGACCAATGGTTAGTCTAAGATAACTGGGACTTAGCCTCAACTTTAACTTCTCTTTGGACTGATCTTGGTCATTCCTATGTCTGCTACTCACTTGCCCTTCCACATAGTCTCATCTGAAGACCCACTAGGCTCTCTTTGAGGCCAAGCGCAGCCCTGAGTGGGTCGGATATGTTTTTACTTGATGTGTTCATGAAGGGAAATTAAAAAATAAATCCATTATGTCCTTTTAAGGAGACCCTATTTCTAATGAAAAAGTTCACTAAATGTTTCATCAAAGGACCTAATCAGGCCTCACTTGGATCCCATTGACTTGTGATCTGAGGATTCTAGTGAAGGCTGTAATACAGTTTGCCCAGAGAAAGAGAGGATTGTTAAGACTGTATATAGTATAAATGTGGTTTGGGAGGTATTTTTCTTATTTGATAAAATATTTTCTAGAATTTTAAAGGCAATGTTTAGACATGATGTATAATATTTAATTACCAAACATTTCTGCTACAACAGTGTCTATATTTGGAAACAGTGTATTAGGCATATCCATTTGCCCAAACTATTTGAAAATAATTGGGCTAGATTGTTACTTTTTATTTATTGACCCCTTGCTCTGCTGTCATATTAGTTGGGTAGCTAATTACATTAGGAAAAAAAGTTCCATTTTTTAATAAACATCAAGAAATCTTAACCTCCAAAGGGGGAAACAAGTTCTCTAATGTTTTCTTTGATGAGGGTTCCTTACTAATTTTTTAGTGAATAGACAGAGGCGTCCCTGCTCAGTTAGGTTTTTCTAGGAAGTCCTTTTATAGGAGCAGAGGCAGCTGTCCAGTAAATTTCTAGAATGTCCTGGAGAAGGTCATCAGGAAATTTCAATCTTGATACCAGCCAAGTTTAGTTTTGTCTCATGTTTGCTTGTGTTTTATTTTCATTAAACCCATGAGAACAAGTTTAGACTATCTTATAGAATCCTAGATTAAAGGGGATAGTGAAAGGAGTTGAATAATGATGAAAATTACCCCTAAAATATGGAAGCAGGAATGGACCCAATCACTGGTAGAAAGTGAACGTCCCAAACATCTTCCACAGCAAGAAGTTCTGTTTCAGTATGTCCCAGGACTGTGTATTTTTAAGTCGGAAAGATGTACATTCATTTTTTTATAAAAACACACACATATGCAAACACAAACTCAGGCACGCATGCACATGCATGTACATGAGTCCTCATAAATGAAAACCCTAGTAATAGTTCTTCAGAGAGAAAAAAAGACTTCAAACTTACAGAGTCAGACACTGAGATAAAGAGAATATACTTGAAAAGAAACTGAAAGAGGCCCCAAGAAGTAGGATGGTTGCATTTTCATTGCCATGGTATTGGCCTTTCTGAGGGGGGAAAAGGGGAATAATTTAGTGTAGTTTCAGCTTGTCAATTACTAGGTAACTTCAGGCAGCTTTTTGGCCAATCTTTCATACCAAATATTGCTATACATTTCTAGAACATTTAAAACAATCAAACAAGACTTTAGCTGGGCAAGATAGGGGACAGGTTTTTCTTTATTCAATATATTGAAGAAATTAATCTATTCTTAAGAGCAATATAGAAAGCTGTATTCACCCTCTTTTGATTAAAAAAAAAAACACTCTGTGTGTATGTGTGTGCATCTGTGTGCACAGTCCTCCTGCCGCTAACAATGAGAGTCTTTTGGAGAGTTTCTTCCTTCTTGATACTTTTCTACTGTCTATAGAAAAGATAGAAAACAGGATTGTCCCAAAGTTGAGAGAACTTGATGACCTAAGACCATGTATACAACTTCTTGTGTCAGATAGAGTTGAACGAGGTAGAAAGAATTAGCTGGAACTGAAGAAAACTTTAAGATTGATAACAAAACTTTATCTTCTAAGATATTTAAAACTGTCAACAGATTCAACTGGTCTCAATGGACATTCACTTAACAATCTAACTTCACAGACTGACCCACTTCTGATAGATATTCTGGCTCCTGCAGCCTACCAGAATAGGACATTCACAGAATTAAAGGCAGTTATACACTATCACACTAGCTGGAAGAAAGGAAAAGAGACACAATTTATTTCCACAGTATTGCCCCTTGCCCAAACTGAGAGCCAGGTTTACTTTCTCAACATAAAATGACTGTATAATATTGGGTGAAAACCCAACTCTACTTGACCTTAAGGATTTACTAACTGGTTGGGCCTAAAGTCAAAACTTTATATCTGTTTGTGACATCTCTGGTAATAAAGATCATTCAGTGTCATCTTGGAGGCTTCACTTTGGGGACATTCACTTCCACTAGTGTGTACATGACCAAAAGTAACCTGGTTTTATGACCCTAGCTCAGCAAGTCACATTCTCAATCTTACGCTACTTAGTGCAATAACCAGAGAATCATGCAACACGGAATCTCTACTGTTAAAGTTGGAAGAAAATTAGCAGGGCATGGTGGCACACGCCTTTAATCCCAGCACTCAGGAGGCAGAGGCAGGTAGATCTCTGTGAGTTCAAGGTCAGCCTGGTCTACGTAGTGAGTTATGGGACAGCTGGGGCTACAAGGAGACCCCATCTGGAAAAAAAACAAAACAAAACAAAATGAAAGTTGGAAGAAAACTGCAACCAATAAACAAAAATGGGAGATCTGTGTGTACCTTACTGCAGCTTTTAAAAAAATAAAACCTGGACTGGAGGGAACATACCTTAACATAGTTAAAGCTATGTACAACAAACCCATAGCTGACATCATTCTAAATAGAGAAACACTGGAAGAATTCCCATTAAAATAAGGAGCCAGATAAGGATGTCAATGATATCTACCCCTTTTAAATACAGTGCTTGAAATTTTTGCTAGAGCAATAAGACATGAGAAGGAAATTAAAGAAGTACTAATTGGGAAAAAGAGTTCAAATTATATATAAGAGATCCAGAAAACTGTTAGAAATGATTCCTTTCAGTAAAGTGGCAGGTTACAAAATCAGCTTTCAAAAATCAGTAGCCTTTCTATATACAAGTAACAAGCAATCAGAAAAAGCATTCAAGGAAACCTTCCCATTCACAATAACCTCAATAAAATAAAATAAAATACTTAGGAATAAACCTAACCAAAGACATCAAAGAGCTCTACAAAGAAAGAGATAGAGGAAGACACTAGGAGATGGAAAGACCTACTATGCTCATGGATTGGTAGAATTAATATTGTGAAAATGACCATCTTACCTAAAGCAATCTATAGATTCAATGCAATGCCAATCAAAGTACACATGACATTCTTCACAGAGTTAGAAAAAAAAAAAAACATCCTAAAATTCACACGGAATCATGAAAGATAGCCAAAGTAATCTTGGATATAAAAAACAACACGGGGAGGGG